AGGACCCTGTTCAATTCAAAGAACAATAATTAGTTATTAAATCGTAGAACCATGGGGTTGCTCATCATTTTGTTCAAGGTGTTTTCTCTGAGCATTTAGGCGTATACCTATATCCAGTGGTAAATAAACACATCACACCCTGGCTATCTATAAAATGTATAACGGTACAGTGTACACAAATAAAAGCTTGAATTATTTATAATTTATATTCTTGGTTCTTTCGATAAAGTCACGTGACTTTTCCGAAAGAACCAAGAATATGAATCCCTGCAGTCACGAAAGCTTTAAATCAAAATTTACTTATAATTTCCTTTAAAAAAAGAATGAAACTTAGAAAAGTAATGCAACTCAGAAAGTCGACCAACACAACGTCAACACTATACGTCCTTCCAAAGATTGCTCAATTTTGCATCCATTTTCTCGGTTGAAGTCATGTCTGACAACCCAAGGGTAAGTGGGCGGGACTCTCTATCACCTTTTTCCCTCTCTAAATTTCGCCCCCACCCTCTCGCCCGTTGCGACAGCTCCCCCCTCCCCCCTCCTCGGATTAGCCGACACTCACCCCTCACCTCTCTGCGATTACATTTACTTGCAAATTCTATCCCTAGTCCCGCCCACTTACCCTTGGTTGTACCCACCACAAACGTCTATAACCGTTGGTTGTAGTCACTCTCTTGCTACATATCCTCCTCAGCAGTCCACCTGCTGTTTATATTTTTGTTCACCTGAAGACGATGGCTTGTTTTGCTATCGAAACGTCGTGATTTATTAGGGGTTTTTTTCTATCTACGTGACTTTACCGAAAGAACCAAAGAGTATGAATTCCTGCAGTCACGAAAGCTTCAAATCAAGAGTACTCATTTTCAATTATTAGTTGCTGTAAGATATCACGTTAACATAATCACAAACGCAGAAAGGACATAACAGTAATTGACACATGTGCCATAAGCCTGTACAATATCCCTCTTCTGACCATAGGCTTTATTACTTTTATTGACACGGTATTATACCTTTGATAAGATAATAACCAAGGTCACGTGAAAAGTAATCACTGGGGGCTTCAGACTTTATTAGCCAAAACAAGCCAAGTGACCTTGAGATGTGTGCTCAGAGGTCTCGTCAGTTCAGGTGCTTGCCTGCGGCATGGCTTAAAGCATAGAGCAGCCGCTGTTTTTTACTTTGACTGTAAAGCACACATCAGATGCTTGTTGTGGCAAATTCCAAAAAGCTTTGTTGAAAGCGTGGAATTGTGATGAGGCTACTTATTCCATCATGGATTTGATGATGGGTATATATCCCAAGTAACCATAAGGCACTGCAGTGCAAATTACTTGTGATACTGAGTAGCAACCAGGGGAATAGCCGCCTAATACACATAGCATTTAATTGCCTCATAGCAAAAGTCCACATTGTATGAGAAGCCCAAATGTCAGCCATAAAACTGTAGACCCAAAGCAGGAAGTTCCCCTGATAGAACATTACTCATACTGATCCGGGGTAATCAGTGTGCTCGAAATGCCAATTGGATGATTTGTTAAGGCCATCAATAAATCAATGTTTTTGGGGACTTTAATTGCTTTTTTACAGTCTTCTCATTTGGAACTAATCTTGGAAGTATTTCCACATCTATCCAATATTCCATGCAATGGCAGCTTAATCTTGTTAAAATAAACATCTATAAACCCAGCTGATTGGACCTGAACAATACTTATTCATTAGAGTAAAAATCCATCCAGATTAACCAAAACTAAACTAAGTATTACACACCCTGACACTTACCAAGCATAATGTACAAATTGCTGTAGTGTCATTGATATATATTGGTTCTGCTCGCAGCATCTTGCTCATCTGTGTTCGCTGCATAACTACACAAAATCAGGGACAGGATGTGTTTTTGGAAATGGTATAGCAGCCACTTTTACATTTTCATATACAATTTGCGTTAATAATAATAGATTTTTGGGTTATGATATGTAATTATCTGTACAAATATGTGTGGTTTAAGACCCTCCACAACTCGACAAAGACAAACAAATTAAATTGGCGTGTGTAAAGGCATTTTAATCCTACTATTACATCAGCTCACCAGGTAATTTTATGAACAATTCTCATAACCAAATGTAGCAATAAGATACTATTATATATAATTGTTTATCTTAATGTTTGGCATATTGCTATTCATTTTACATTCGACCATTACGGCAATTTTATGTGAACTTAACTGCACTTTAATGTTTTTTTTTACAAACACCATCAATAATACTGTTCTAATAAATGAACAAAAGGTAGATATAAAGTACAGCCCACATTATGCCTGAGGAAAAACAGGGTTTTCGTTTCATTATTAAAACTGGAAAGAAGAAATAATATTATATTTCCTTGAAATCAGTCTACTGGCAACACAAAGACAAGTCACATATCAACACTTAACCAACCACAGAATACCGCAATACTCATCTTGCTGATGCCACAAGGCTATGAAATATAAAATTGGCATATTATTTATGTTGTTTTAGAGTGTTTTTAAGTTACCATTGTTAACTTGAATATCCACAAACATATATTTACCATATGCAAATAGGTTAACAAGATATTATAAATCAATCGATGCATTTTATATGGAAGGTTAAGTATCTTGTAATAATGCAAAAAAATCTTGATTTGTAATTATGGTTTTACATTTCCTGTGCTCAGATATAATTAGATTTTGTTTGGAAAATAAATACCATTATGGGGTATTAACATCTGAAATGTGATTGTCATCAAGTCTGACAATGGGACTGCTAGTCACTTAGAGATTTGTGCTGGGAATTGGCAGAGTGCTCTGTAACAATTTACCCAGCCCAGATCTTGCTTGAAGACATTCGTTAAAAAAATATATTTCAAAAGGTGTAAAAAACTAATTTGGCACGGGTCTTATACAGTATATACATCTATTTTTCATGAATGTGGATATATACGTTAGGTATACGCAGAAAATATATGTGCATTGTTTAAACAGGTAATTATGGGGTGCAGTGGTTGTGCAGTGGTTAGCGAGTTACACTATGAACCCGCTGACCTGAGTTCAATTCCCAGCCATGGCTAACGTCAGTGGCGAGTGGTATTAGAACTGCTCCTGCCATACCCCACCTTCAACAACTCACACTGACCAGCTAGGTGAAGTCTGGTTTAAAAATCCCCATGAAACATCTTGGCATGCAAGGCTTCGTCCATTGGTGGATTTAGAATGGCTGGAATTGTATTCATGTGTTTATTTGAATCATGTATGGGAACAAGACTGTTTATATAAAGCCATGACAAATTATTCATGGGCTAAGAGCTTCAGCAATTATCGCCTAAGCTTAGACAACTCAGCACCACTTCCCAACAGTCACCAGCTGCTTAAGAAATAGCCAAAGTAAAATACACGCGAGCCCATAATGAGCAACTACTTTTCGTAGATAGATGTAGTTGGTATTGAACTTTTATTACGAATCAATATTTAATATGAAATTACATTATTCATTTTGCTAATGTATTTATACAAACACAGTTATACATTCTGTAATTATTGATTTTGAAGTTACAGCATAATAGATATGAGTTTTGTAATTTAAGGTAGGTCAGAAAACACATTATAGAATAAAGAAAAACGCAGCAATTCAATTGTGCTTACATTTTTCCACGTGGAAACAAAACACATACAAAATGTGTATATCATTCTCAACATCATAATATTTCATATTCTTAGCTCTTTCGGTAAAGTCACGTTTAAGGGAAACAATAAAATAATAAAATAGATATAAAACAATAAAAATTCTCACGACGTTTCGACCATAACACAAACGGTCGTCATCAGGTGTTTTGGTTTGCATTGATGACAACCGTTTGTGTTATGGTCGAAACGTCGTGAGAATTTTTATTGTTTTATATATATTTTATTATTTTATTGTTTCCCTTCAACGTGACTTTACCGAAAGAGCTAAGAATATGAATTACTGCAGTCACGAAAGCTTTAAATCAAAAATCATATTTAACCTGTCACAGGTCTAACTAAATTAAAGCAGAACTGGGATCACTATAATGTTAAAGAAAATTACATTAATGGTAAATGGAAAGGGAAAACTCGTGAAAACGACTGGATTATGAGATAGGTAAATATAAGCAGAAGACAGTATGAAGAGAAGGCATCTCCAAAGACTTTGGAGGCCACTACTGGACAGGAGCAACAATTGTCCAGCGAAAAGGGCACAACAACAAATAAATGAGTCCCATTAATAGCAAGCGGCCAGACACCGACACTGCTCTGGTAAGCATTTCATGAGCTCTTGAGAATGCGCGTTGGCCGTCAGCGAGATGGAACATGACAAGATGTTACTTTAGTTTGAACCTTAGTGACTACTGTCCAGTCACATAATGTCAAACCCTTTCAAGGCAATGTCCATCCCAGCTTAAGTCTCAATGCACCCAAATAATGGCAAAATTGTATCACTATTATACACCAATTGGGCTGTGTGCACACACGACCACAATGTCAACAATTAGTTTCAGCAATTAAAGGGCAACCACTGCTACACCGCTGGTGGCCTAGTGATTGTTATTGAATGCTGTGCTGTTAAAAGCAAAGGTTTGACTACAACTTGTCTAGAATTCGTGTTGTCTTGATAATAATGGCCATGTCTGGCCCTCGCTGATTGTATAATGCCACGCAAAGATGACGCAATCATTGTGCACTTACTGAAGGTGAACACTTCCATTTGTTTTAGTCGACCACGGTTAAGTGCATAGTATCCTCTACTCAGCAGACACAAGCACCAAACACTCACAGAAACGCACTTGCTCCCTTTGAAAAAAATACAAACCCCACTCGTGACTGTCGATTTGTTTCGCCGAACTTAAACATCGTTCAAGAGCTCAGAGCAAGAGGGTGCAGGGTGAGCGCACCGCTTACACTTGGTTTACACATCACCGCAGGGACGCTGCGGCAGGTGACAGAGTGTTGGGAACACGATCCTCACCTCTCGAGGGTATATCTCCACAATGCGCTTGAGTGGGTCCAGCACCTGCCAGGAGATGAGGATCACCAAGTCGATGAGCAGCATCCCGCCCACAATTCCAAATAGCTTCTGATCCTTGATTATCTGTGTGCAATGGAGTTTAACGCACTACGCTGTAAAGTCAATACTGTAATCGCATCTGTTATAAATGGAGGAGGATAGGGGAAATATTTCGTAAACATTCTTATAATAATAATCATCGTTATTCCAAATACAAGGAACTTAATTCAGTGGCACAGTGTGGTTGGCATGGGAAATAAATAGTGCCCACTGTGCAATTTCACCCCCTTTTTGTAGCCTGCTACCTGGGCCGCTCTGGCTTTTGGCCTTTATTGCAGTTACACTGGCTGCCTACTCAATAACTACAGTTTTCCACTGATTTTCAGTGATTAAAACACAAAATTGTTTGATGGACAGATTGGCCTTTTTAAGTAAAAAATGTATGAGTGGACACTACCTTTCTTCCAGCTTCTGAATGAGTAAATATAAATCTTACATTGAACAATTAAAATCAAATGCAAGATAATGATTGCAATGTTCATACAATAACATACTTCAGAAGTATATACAATTGTGGATAAAAAAATATAATGCTATTAAATAGTAGATACCAATAAGATATATAATGCACTCAGTTTCAAAATGGATCCCTAATTTAATTAACATGAAATGTATATCTTTACAAATAATATTAAAAGAGAGATTTAAAAGAGAGGGATCAGAATTATAAGGTGGATGTTGGAAATATGTCTCAGGGAAAGTAGAAGGAATTAAGTAGTTAAAGCTTCAGCAGAGGTTACTAATATTCTTGAGAACGTCAGGAAGGCTAGACTTAGATATTTTGGACATGTGTTGAGAAGAGACAAATAAGATGCATTGAGTAGGTATATGGACATGTCACCAGTGCAGGGCAGAATGAGTAGAGGAAGACGGAGGTTGAGATGGAAGGATGGAGTAGAATGTTATGTGAGGGTATTGGATGCGACTAGAGAAATAAAATTCGAGCAACCGACCCTATGCAATCATGGGACTTAGGCACCGAATAAAAGGTGGTGTTCATCTCAATTGGTGGCCCTGAGCCGCCAGTGATATAATTAACTCATTTCTATATAGAGAGAACTAGAAGCAACGATATTCTAAAGTTGGCAGCATGTGAGGGTTTTAACGTAAAAAAATATGTTAACGTGATTCGCTCTCCTCTCATTAACATGTTTAAAACATTAACATGTTTAGAGCACATTGTATATGTATATCCATGTGTAGTGACGTAAATGGAGTCACTATGGTGGTTAGCGCCAGCTGTCACAAGAGTGGAGCTGTACGTCTTGAGCCACTCTGTGCAACCAGAATGGGTATGGCATGCAAGCGGGCCCTAGGGGGCATAGTTCTGGTGATGGTCTGAGAGAGGGCAAGTGAGGACATGGCAGTCTGGGTGAACCCGAGAGGGCACATGACCAGAGCAGGGTAGCAAGGGGGCCCAAAAGGGGGCTCGAGGGACACGTGATGCTTGGACGAAATCCTTCTGGCAAAATCCAGAAGGGGGCGCGGCCGAGGGCGGAGCGAGGCCACGCTCGGGAGCATAAAGGGGAAGTCCCGAGAGCGATCGCGGCTGTTCTCTGGAATCAACCCTCGGTGCTACATCTCTTCGATCTTCAGTCTTCGCTCGGCATCGTGGGTCAAGCAGACTATTACTCACTGACCCGGTTATGTAGTTAACCGTTGTGGTCTAGTTAACCAGTTGTACATTTATGTAGTTATCCTGTTGGGGTGTGAGAATAAATGTTGCCTCCAAGTTCAAATGTGTGCCTCCGTAGAACCCACTACACATGCAATAGGCAGAGAGAGAAAAATACACCACCAACTGCTGAGTAGTTGCCCCATGGCAAAAGTGGTTGGCTTTAGATGTATACAAGACATGTGTGAAAGATATTTATTACAGGCATGGCCTTATATTTTGATAAGTACGTTTTAAAAAGGCTAACTAATCTTAAATACCATCATGCCGTTTTTAAAAACAAGACTGCAATGTGTCTGTATTGCTTCAATACATTTATTGGATTATAGAGAGGGGGGTTGAGCGATGCTGCGATGGTTGGCGCATTGTGCTATACATTTAGCAACATGAGTTTGATTCCCAGCCACAGCAAAGCAAATTATATCTGAACCAGTCTTGGACAGCCCCTTCAACGAAACTGCACCGTGCTGTGTTGTAAGATATGGTCAAACAAACCTCATGACTAACACATTGTGGGAATGCCTTCATCCATCAGTAGATTTGCAAAGGGCTGTAAATTATTAACTCCAATTATAACAATTTAGCATGTAGGTACTACTACCACTTATATTTCAAGTGTAGTATTCCAGGTTAGCCTAACCTGGTGAGCTTAACCTGGAAGACTGCATGTTATAATTTACCACTTCATAATTCGAACATTATGAAAGGATTCATAATGCTACAATCTATTATATAGTAATATGAAAAGGTTTTGGTGTCTAGTTGTTCACCTTCATGTCACATGCCATTTGCAAGTACTTGTATGTCATTCCCCACTTGTGTTAGAATTAAGGAAGTGATATAACTCATAGGACATTTTAATGGGATTAATGGCCTTTTGAGTGACATTTATGGTCAAACGGAGGACATTTGCTGAATTAGGATGAATTAATGAGTGAGTGACCGAAGCGAGTTCTGGCAGATGTGTGCCGTCCTGTCACACAGTGAAATAAATACAAAGTGATTTTGCTCTTCACATGCTCGCCACATAATTGGAAAGTAATGTTTATTTGAATAATTAAAACAGAAAACGTCATATGTTTAGATAACATATCACACCCTCTGGTTGATCTAAAATATCTATATATACTGTGATGTCCTTGTATTTCTCACCTGGTAAAATAAAACATTTGAGTTTAGTTTTCACGATCTTCCATAAACTGGCTCCTGCCTACTGTACCTCTGGTCAGTGGGGTAGCTGAAGTGGGGTGGTGGGCAGGGGGCATACACATCGGAGCATAGAAATACTGTACTATAAAACAATAGATTTTGCTGCACCGCCCTTTGCTAACGACATAGCCCAGCGCGGTAGTTGACAGCGCCTGTGTATATGCAAGGTGGCAGCTAAACCACCAAGCGCTATCCAATCTTTTTTCGTGTATAGCACACTAATGAAGCTGGTGAACAGCTGCAAGTCATTTCAAGCGATGACTCTTTATACATCGCACTTCTAATTGACAAGCATGTAAGCATCTGGGTTCTGTCTATAGTCCAATGCATGCCGGTGGTGCAAAGCTTAGGGATTTCTATTATAATCCCTGCATGCATTTAGTTTGCGAGACAGCATAACAATGAATGAAGAAGCACCACAAGCACTGCCAGTTCTTCTCAATTCCTAACTCATCGCTGCGCTCAGCGACTCAGCTCAATCAGGGCTGTCAGCGACGCCGCTGCAGCACCGCGTACACACGGGATATTGCAGAGCAACCCGATTAAATATACTCAGCTACTGCAAAACGTCTGACACGCTGGCTTGCCACCACACTGCAGGTCAACACACTTCTCTCTTGTTTCGTTATTTGGTTCAACTCTGGAATCTCCTTCAATCGTCTCCTTTTTCCCAAGTTCTTAAAATCTTGCTCAATAAAAGTGCAGTTTGTTGCTGGCCGCTTGACACGTTTAGGCCTGTGGGATTGAGCTCAGCAACCGTGATTAAAAAATAATATACTATTCTGAATGTTGAAAACATATTTGAATAAACAAAATAATAATAAAAAATATACACAAATTCCTATGTTAACAATTATAATCTACTAGCAGGAAGTACCCGGCGTTGCCCGGGTTCTAAAAATATTTCAAAACTACTCTTAAAAATGTAACAACAGTGTGTACTGACTGTGGTGATACCTGCTATGATGACAGCAGTGCATACTGTGGTAGTACCTGCTATGATTACAGCAGTGCATACTGTGGTGGCACCTGCTATAATTACAGCAGTGCATACTGTGGTGGCACCTGCTTTCACTGCAGCAGTGCATACTGTGGTGGTACTTGCTATGATTACAGCAGTGCATACTGTGGTGGTACCTGCTATCACTACAGTAGTTCATGCTGACTCTATAGCAGTATTTATCGACTCTATAGCGCATAGTACTCACCTGACAGAGTATCGTGGTGAGGCCTAGTCCCGTGTGGTGGTACCTGCTATGATTCCAGCAGTGCATACCGACTGTGTTCGTACCTGCTATGATTACAGCAGTGCATACTGACTGCGGTGGTACATGCTATGATTACAGCAGTGCATACCGACTGTGCTGGTACCTGCTATCACTACAGTAGTACATGCTGACTCTATAGCAGTATTTATCGACTCTATAGCACAAGGTACTCACCTGACAGAGTGGCGTGGTGAGGTCTAGTCCCGTGCAAAGCCTCCGGCCTCGCCTAGACAGTCCAGCCGACCGAGGTGGCACCTTGGCAGTCTGGGGCTGGGCTGCTACCCCTGCCCCGGCCGCTCTGGAGTAACATCTACGTCCTATAGTGGTAGCATCTACCGACTGTATAGTAGTAATAACTGCATGCATCGTGGTGGGGGGGACATGAGACAGTGAATAATCTACCTGAGCGTTTTGTGTATTTTTATAGGATTTTTAACGCGACTCTCACTATCACTGAAGGCGTGTGACTTGGCATGAGTCATCCTCCCCACCAAAGGCGCGTGAGTTGGTATGGTCGTGCACGCGTCATAAATAAATAAATAAAGCTAGCCGCTCAAAAATCTCAGTAAATCGCTAATTAAACTAATTTAAAGCTGACGGATGTGAAAAAAAAAGAAATAGTGCTTGCTCACCACGGGGCTTACAGCGTGGTGCCTGGCTATTTTATTTATTCGTAAACCCCACCGTTGGAGAGCTAAGCACGAGACCACACACAAACCCACACACAAACCCACACACAATGACTTATATATATAGAAGATTGTATTTCAAGATACCTATCTACTTTGATATAATTTCCAGTTGGACAATATAGCAGTAAAGAGGGAAATATTAATAATTCATGTAGGCAATTAATGAAATATTTCCTCATTATGTTCCTCACTTTTGTTTTGATGGGTGCCCTTAGCTGCCTGAGACATGGATACATTGCACAAATACAAAAGATGCGTAATGTTTAGACCATATTCTTAATTTATTTGGAAGTATGCATGAAGGAAATGTACGGTATATAATAAAATATGATACAAATGATAGATTGGATGCTGAGTTGATATTCAAGAAAATATTATACTGGTAGGAACCTCCTGGTTACACCAGCAGCCCACAGGGGATTATTGTGTCCGTCCGTCGTGCATCAAAAAGTGGGAGGGGTGGGGCTGGGTGGAGAGGGGAGGGGCTGGGTGGGGAGGGAGGGGCTGGGTAGGGAGGGTGGGGGCTGGATGGGGAGGGGAGGGTGGGGAGGGGCTGGGTGGGGAGGGTGGGGAGGGGCTGGGTGGGGAGGGTGGGGCTGGGTGGGGGGTGGGAGGGGTGGGGCTGGGTGGGGAGTGGCTGGTCACCCCGTAGTGCCCTTATAAAACTCAGCGTTTCACCTACTCACGCCGGCTTGTGCCCGCCCTCACAGTCGGGCATATTTGTGGAATACACCACACCGCCGTTGACCCTGACCATTGACCGAGCAACCCAACGTTCCTCCCAGCTCCCTCCGCAGGAATGTGTACCACAAATACGCACGTGCAGTTTCCATGATAAACAGAAACTGTGAACTACTGTAATCTCGTCACTTTAAGATGTTTTCTTGTTCGTGTTTTTTGTTTGTTGTGGTTGCACCCGATTCAAGAGCCGAATGGCTCACAGGGCTATACCAAAATAAATGAACTGAAAAATGAACTGAACTGAACTCCCCTTCACAATCTGTAAGTGATTCAAAATAATCTCCCCTGAAACTTCAACAGGAAAAATTAAATCGTTTTAGTATTCACCTTTTTCTTCATCTTGACATTCTTAAAAATGGCATGAACTCTCCAAGTCTTGGCAAACATGGCCCCAAAGGCGGTGGTGTAACCCACGGCGAGTGTCCACGTGCGTAGCTGTAACAGAGAGACACGTCACCCCAACACAAGCATAACTCTACAATCAACACACACTCAGAACCTCACAACCACCACACACTCAGACTCTCACAACCACCACACACTCAGACCTTCACAACCACCACACACTCAGACTCTCACAACCACCACACACTCACACTCTCACAACCACCACACACTCAGACCTTCACAACCACCACACACTCAGACCATCACAACCACCACACACTCAGACTCTCAACAACCACCACACACTCAGACCCTCAACAACCAACACACACTCAGACCATCAACAACCACCACACACTCAGACCCTCACAACCACCACACACTCAGACTCTCAACAACCACCACACACTCAGACTCTCACAACCACCACACACTCAGACTCTCACAACCACCACACACTCAGACCCTCACAACCACCACACACTCAGACCCTCAACAACCACCACACACTCAGACCATCACAACCAACACACACTCAGACCCTCACAACCAACACACACTCAGACTCTCACAACCAACACACACTCAGACCCTCACAACCACCACACACTCAGACCCTCACAACCACCACACACTCAGACCCTCAACAACCACCACACACTCAGACCATCACAACCACCACACACTCAGACCCTCACAACCACCACACACTCAGACCCTCACAACCACCACACACTCAGACCCTCACAACCACCACACACTCAGACCATCACAACCACCACACACTCAGACCATCACAACCACCACACACTCAGACTCTCACAACCACCACACACTCAGACTCTCACAACCAACACACACTCAGACTCTCACAACCACCACACACTCAGACCATCACAACCACCACACACTCAGACTCTCACAACCACCACACACTCAGACTCTCACAACCAACACACACTCAGACCCTCACAACCACCACACACTCAGACTCTCACAACCACCACACACTCAGACCCTCAACAACCACCACACCCTCAGACTCTCACAACCACCACACACTCAGACTCTCACAACCACCACACACTCAGACCCTCACAACCACCACACACTCAGACCCTCAACAACCACCACACACTCAGACTCTCACAACCACCACACACTCAGACCATCACAACCACCACACACTCAGACCCTCACAACCACCACACACTCAGACTCTCACAACCACCACACACTCAGACTCTCAACAACCACCACACACTCAGACCCTCAACAACCACCACACACTCAGACCCTCACAACCACCACACACTCAGACCCTCAACAACCACCACACACTCAGACCATCACAACCACCACACACTCAGACCCTCAACAACCACCACACACTCAGACCATCAACAACCAACACACACTCAGACCATCACAACCAACACACACTCAGACCATCACAACCACCACACACTCAGACCATCACAACCAACACACACTCAGACTCTCACAACCAACACACACTCAGACCCTCAACAACCACCACACACTCAGACCCTCACAACCACCACACACTCAGACTCTCACAACCACCACACACTCAGACTCTCACAACCACCACACACTCAGACTCTCACAACCACCACACACTCAGACTCTCACAACCACCACACACTCAGACTCTCAACAACCACCACACACTCAGACCCTCACAACCACCACACACTCAGACTCTCACAACCACCACACACTCAGACTCTCACAACCACCACACACTCAGACTCTCAACAACCACCACACACTCAGACCATCACAACCAACACACACTCAGACCCTCAACAACCAACACACACTCAGACCATCACAACCACCACACACTCAGACTCTCACAACCACCACACACTCAGACTCTCAACAACCACCACACACTCAAACCATCACAACCAACACACACTCAGACCCTCAACAACCAACACACACTCAGACCATCACAACCACCACACACTCAGACTCTCACAACCACCACACACTCAGACTCTCAACAACCACCACACACTCAGACCCTCACAACCACCACACACTCAGACCCTCAACAACCAACACACACTCAGACCCTCAACAACCACCACACACTCAGACTCTCACAACCACCACACACTCAGACCCTCAACAACCACCACACACTCAGACCCTCACAACCACCACACACTCAGACTCTCACAACCACCACACACTCAGACTCTCAACAACCACCACACACTCAGACTCTCACAACCACCACACACTCAGACCCTCACAACCACCACACACTCAGACCCTCACAACCAACACACACTCAGACCCTCAACAACCACCACACACTCAGACTCTCACAACCAACACACACTCAGACTCTCACAACCACCACACACTCAGACCATCACAACCACCACACACTCAGACTCTCACAACCACAACACACTCAGACCATCACAACCACCACACACACTCAGACCATCACAACCACCACACACTCAGACCATCACAACCACCACACACTCAGACCCTCACAACCACCACACACTCAGACCATCACAACCACCACACACTCAGACCCTCACAACCAACACACACTCAGACCCTCACAACCACCACACACTCAGACTCTCACAACCACAACACACTCAGACCATCACAACCACCACACACACTCAGACCATCACAACCACCACACACTCAGACTCTCACAACCACCACACACTCAGACTCTCACAACCACAACACACTCAGACCATCACAACCACCACACACACTCAGACCATCACAACCACCACACACTCAGACCATCACAACCACCACACACTCAGACCCTCACAACCACCACACACTCAGACCATCACAACCACCACACACTCAGACCCTCACAACCAACACACACTCAGACCCTCACAACCACCACACACTCAGACTCTCACAACCACAACACACTCAGACCATCACAACCACCACACACACTCAGACCATCACAACCACCACACACTCAGACTCTCACAACCACCACACACTCAGACCCTCACAACCACCACACACTCAGACCCTCACAACCAACACACACTCAGACCCTCACAACCACCACACACTCAGACTCTCACAACCACCACACACTCAGACCCTCACAACCACCACACACTCAGACTCTCACAACCAACACACACTCAGACCATCACAACCACCACACACTCAGACCCTCACAACCACCACACACTCAGACCATCACAACCACCACACACTCAGACCATCACAACCACCACACACTCAGACCATCACAACCACCACACACTCAGACCATCAACAACCACCACACACTCAGACCATCAACAACCACCACACACTCAGACCCTCACGACCACCACACACTCAGACCCTCACAACCACCACACACTCAGACCCTCAACAACCACCACACACTCAGACTCTCACAACCACCACACACTCAGACCCTCAACAACCACCACACACTCAGACCCTCAACAACCACCACACACTCAGACCCTCAACAACCACCACACACTCAGACCCTCACGACCACCACACACTCAGACCCTCACAACCAACACACAATCATAACTCTACAACCATCATACACCTAGGCAACCCACAACCACCATCACACACTCACGAAGCCCACAACTCCATGAAATGTGTGTGCAGGTGTGGGGAATGGTAGTTTAGTGGTTAGCGCGCTGCCCTACGAACCCGGTGACCTGATTTTAATTCCCGCTCACGGCCACCAACATCAGTGAGGATTATCTGAACCGGTCCTAGGCTTCCCTTAGGTCGACTCAGCTTCAAATGAGGACCTGATGCGGTGTATAAACATCGCTACGAGGGAGACGAAGGTGGCTGGCCATGGTGCTGGTCACCCACTCCCTCGTGTGCCGTGCCAGCCTTCATATGTGCTCGCTAACAGCACTTCCCCCACAGGCTATACAGTAGATCTTTATCTTTATAGGTGAGTGAGTGCTATTTCTACCTTAATAGGTGCTCGCTAATAATACTTGTTCCAAAATTCTAAAGGTATACGTGTCATCTTTGTCTTTGTGCGTGTATGCAGAGAAGTTATTTAGTAATTAGGAACCATTTGTGATTTCTGCACAAACTACAGTTTGCACTGGCTTCATTATTATCTTTTTTAATTAGAATTTTACAATTTCATTTCGAGCAGCATTATTACAATACCAAGTCAGTATTTACTGTAATTGTTTTCTGTGATAATGTTTTCCTCTATTGTATATGCAAACTGTTTGCTGAATTATAAATTGCAAGAGGTAAATTGAAAATGAATTAACATAAAAATAACACTGAAAAAATCCCAGCATCATGAAAACTGCCAGTGAGTTCACATTTCAAGCAATAACCTTTCTTTTTAAAGAATGTTTTTGGTCTTTTGTTCCTGATTCATCCCAATTGTCCTTTCGACAAAGAGTGCATTCAGAAATGTAATGAGCAGTGCAACCCATATGGCTAACACCATGAACTCAATAAATTAATCCAGGATTTGTAAAGAGCCATATTCAGCCAAAGGTTGACAAGGAAGCGTGGTTGCCACGGATACATTTTAAACTAAATGAAACTAAAATAGAAGAATTTTTTTACCTTTTAGTCCGATCTCGAAAAGCACCCATTGCCACAGCTGAGCAGACTTCAGTTGGCAGACTGTTCCAGACTACTGGTGCTGCTGCTGATGAAAAACTCAATTTTGCTTTCCTAAGCCGAGTGGAATTTACATGGCAGCAGCTCCATACCATATGAGCTTTGGTAAACTTGCTCCACCTAAGAATCTGGTTTAACCATAGATGGGTTCATTGATTCGAACCCAGGATCTCAAATGTGCAGGCTCAGTGCTCTGAACTCTGAGCCCCCCAGAATGACCACGCATGGGGGACTTACAGCGCAGATGTTCTCAAACGTTGCTGAGGACACCAAAGCCCCATCCAAGCCGAAGAGAAAGATGGTCATGTAGGAAAGCATTCCACCCAGGATGATGAGGTTGTTCATGTAGGGACTTGACATCTTTATCAGCCTGTTGACATAATGACAAACATGTTAGTTAGGTCCTAAGGACTCCCAGATTAATTTCTGCTTTTGCCTTGGCAGACACTTTTTCCTCTCTGTGTGATCTTCACCCGAGCAGATAGGTAAACAAAACCAACCACAGTTAATCTAACTAAGAAAATGCAATCAGTTGTGCGAGTTGATCCACTTCCAGTCTCAATCTACACTAGAAAACAGACATTATATCCATACTCTTTGGTTCTTTCGGTAAAGTCACGTAGGTATAAACATAAAATAAATTAAATCACGACGTTTCGGGCACAAGAGAAGCGTCCGTCATCAGGTGTAACAACCACAGCAAGAACATTTGCTGAAGTGGGAAAAATGGGTGCTTGTATCAAGAGGCTATATAGGTAAGGTATATAGGTAAGAGAGGGGGGGGGGCATTATATCCTTTGCAATGAGCTAAGAGTATTGTCCTTAATATACGATCGATGTCAGTGAGTGAAGGTAAACAAATGAAGCATTGAAGCAGAGACAATTACCTGCAACAAAATCACAAACATATCTGAAAATATGTTTCACATTATGCATTTTTCTACACTGAATTATTTCCAACAAATTATAAATTAGATACAATTTTAATTTAATTTCATAGCTTCTCAGATGTTTATTTGCAGCATGCGCGTGGCTGCTGCTTGAAAGTGATGGATGACTCCAATATCAACTCAATGAGGCACCAACAGCTATTGAAATGCATGTCATTAGAATGCCATTCATTACTCAACAGTTTTGACAGTAAATTAAATCCATTTAAATGCGTACAGAATTATTCCACTAAAATCCCCGCTATTTTTACTTACAAGCTAACACATACCTCTGCGTAGGTGATCGCAGTTGTTCTGTATAGCTCTCTGATGGGCTGTACTGCGTGCTGTTCGGCACGGTGTTCGACGTTTTGCTAACACGTCGAACATCATGCCAAACAGCACACGATACAACCAAAAACACATCGATGAGCTAAAGGCACACATGTAAAAAATATTTACATAGCGCAAGTGGATTGAGCGCAAAGATTCTGTAATGGAGTAGGGGTGTAAATTAGCGGTACTAACTTTTGGTTGCGGTTCTTGATGTTAAAGAAGAGGAAGGCAGAGGCCATGAACATGCCCAAGCAAGTGAGTACAGACAAGATGCTGTAGAGGGGTAGATACACCTCTCGCAGCTTTGACTGAACGATGGTCCTGTCCCACGGTGGGTCTGGACCTGACCACACAGCAATCAAACAAACATGATTAAACATTTTTGATTTAAAGCTTTCGTGACTGCAGTGATTCATATTCTTGGTTCTTTCAACGTGACTTTACCGAAAGAACCAAGAATATGATTAAAGATCCTCAGTGTTGCTGATAGAGGCATTGGGAAAAATTACTATGGCCAGTATGACACATGAGAGGGTAGTGCGGCCAGAATCAATCCCAGCCGCCATTGTCTCCCCAGTGCTGATGTTTACACACCACACCAGGAGAGGGCCAGTTTAGATAAGTGCCACTGACATAAGCTGTGGCCTGGAATTGAAATGAGGTCACTGGATTTGTAGCGGAGTGCGTTAACCACTAAAATACTACTCTAATTATAAACTTAACAAGCATGCTTATAAACACATGCTAAGCCACTCAGACAGGCAGTAGATATGATGTTGTACTGCACACTGCACCAGGTTCTTATTTAGGCTGCATCAATAGGACAGCTTCAGATTCCTAAGCTGTGTAACTGCCAACCACCACCGCTCCATCCAATGTACACTCGTGTTCTAAAATGTACGTAAAAATATACACATGTACCTATGTGCAATTAATAAAATTATTTGTTTTACTTTGATTCCTAAAACATCAAGTGGCTTAATATGCTCTACATTGTCAGGAAATATAAATTACCAACGCAGCGGTTGGTGCTTTGCAGTGTGAACTCAGACTCCGGAATCAAACACCAGTTTTCTCTGACATCAGTGGTGAGTTCTAATCTGGTGCTGTACACCCCACCCCCATCAACCACCCCCATCCACCCCCTTCACCGACAGAGCTGCACTGACCAGCATGGTGAGGTTTAATCAAACACCCCTCATGGCTGGTGCTGTGTGGGGGAGGCCTTCACCCAGCCTTCCAGCAGTGGATTGGCAAGTGACCGTGCTATAAATACATCTTAATAAGCCTGAGACCAGGCAAGTGGCCAGCCAAGATGGAGTAGGTAGGCACAGGGAGCAACAAGCAGAGGGCGAGGGGGCAAAAGAGATGGGATCTGGTGCAGTGCAAGGCAGGGGGAGGGGGGAAGGCACGAGACGGGGGGGGGGGGTGATGTTGGCTGGGCTCACTTGAGAGAAATGGATACTGCTTCATAGTGGGGGGTGGGGGGGGGGGCAACCCACCCGTGAATATGGGCCTGGCAGTGACTGCGTGTGGTCAAGAGGTTTCACTATTGGTGGCCCATACCTTGGAAACGCATGGTGCTGTTGATGAGCTCCAGAGTGTCCGGAACTGCATTGTACTCACCGACCTTTACCCTCTCGGTACCTGTGGGAGTCGCACACCACAAACCACGTACCACGCCACATGCACAAGTCATCATTCCTGTTAGTCTGTGGATTCGATTTACGTAATTTACATGATTATAATTGCCTATATTGTGTATAATGTATACATAAGCGTGTTTCTTACATCCCGAATTGCAATTATTTCAATGCTTTGAGGTGTATGTATGCGATATAGATTGAATATTTTTTTTAAATATTTTGCTAAGCTTTATTTACGCGTTGTTTTTAATAAACATATCCAATTACCATATGCTAACTACAGTATGAGAAAAGCGCATCCCAAGTGTTTAAACTGAAATGAAAATGGGTTAACTATGCCACAGCCCTTTTTGGCATTCTGGGTGAAAAACTATCTACATGTTAATTAGAGAAGGCCACATCATTTAAGTCACTGAACAACTGTTAATTGCTTTAGCGTCACAAAAATGGCAAAACAATAAATATATAAGTCATCAAACACATATATTTGGTACTTCGTAAAAAAAACTGCCTTCTGGACTGACTTGTTTTGAAGTCATTTTCAACAGATATGATATATCACCAAAATGTACGCTTCCTGTGAAGTTGATTTCCGTGATATAAAAAGTGCTTACTTTGAAACTGCATGAATTCTATCGTTCCTAAACGCTCTCCATTTCTGAACAAGACTTGACCCTACAAGAGATTTAAAACAAAAGATGCACAACATCATGTTAAACGAAGCTTTCATTGCAGTATACGTTTGCTACAAGGTAATATTACGTCATACAAGCCAAACACTCAGAGGCTAGTAATAAAATAAAATAATAAAATGAAACCGCACAAAAACCCCCCAAAAGCTAAAGAAAGTATGTCGAAGTGAAAAAGGTATTTAAGAACAGATGCGCAGGATATGAATCAGCTGATACACTTGGCAGACACCGAATGACTGATGGAAGTGAATTCCACAGCCCTGGGGGCCGGACGACAAAAGGCACCAGTTGTCCATCGCGTGGACGTTCGACCTCGGCGTGCACAGTAGGAGGCCGAAATCAGAGGACTGGAGAACTCTTGCTGGAACGTAGGGATGAAGATGGTCGTGAATTTATGAAGGAGCGGCATCATTCAATACCTTATCAGTAAGGAGGATTTTGAACTTCACCCGAAACTGGACTGGCAACCAGTGAAGAGACGTAAACATGTAGGGGGGGGGATGTGCTCAGTAACAGGTGTATACATACGGGTGAGAACCCAAATTGCTTACATACGTGTGAGAACTCGAATTCCGCACGTGCTAAAGCCAATTTAACAGATTTATGGGGGTGCCAGGAAAAAAAAACTGCACTTGAGAAGTCGATGCGAGAGAAAATCAAGGTGTGGTGGACGAGCTTCTCACCATCCAACAGAGAGAGAATGGTGCACAACCCGGCTATATTTCTGAGATGAAAAAAGGCAGCCTTCGTTGACCTTGTTCATGTGCACTTCAAAGGTGAGCCGAAGGATCAAGGACAACACGAAGACTTGCACACGCCATGGCACTGCCTTATGTTCCTATAATATCGTCAAGCTACGTCGCACAGCGTTTGACAATATACACTTGGCTGCACGAACATGAAACCAATCTTATAAGAGGACTGATACCATTGAAGATGTCATCTTCACAATATTCAGCTCGGACAAGGAGAGACACTGCAGTAACAAGGCTGGATAGTAAAATCACTGCTGGCATTAACACAAGCAAGCACATCATTTTTCGATCGCCTTAGCAGTGCAATTCATTGTGTTATAAAGTAATATACTTTTTGCACATACTGTATGCGTCCATGTGTTAGAATTGTATTTGCCTTTAATGCACACATTTTGAAACACTTTCCTTCAGCAATTACATCAATAGTAGAGCTTGTATTTATCCCAATGTCGGGAATTTAATAACACAATAACATTTTAAAATACATTGATGTACATCACTTACAGATTTTGTGAGACAGGGGTAAAGAAATTCACAAGTTAAAATACCTAGAATTCAAATAGTATTTAACATACTCTTTGGTTCTATCCGAATAGAACCAAAGAGTATGGATCCTTGCAGTCACGAAAGCTTCAAATCTAGAATTAGTATTTAACAGTTCATTTAAGTAGTTAAGTGATGCCCTAAATCATTACTGTAAGAGGAATGTGTGTGTGTATATGCATCACCCTTGAGTAATGTCTACACTGAAAACGGGATGCTCAATTTTTTTTAAAACAGTTCATGCATCGGCATTGTACGAGTCATCACGATAACATTCACCACACCGATATTATTATTTTTTATTTCCTCATTAAAAAATTAAGAGACATGAATTCTATAATCAACAAGTCTATTTGTATTTTACACAATTATGACAATACATAATAACAATAAACTATTACTGTTACATAAATTTTAAAATCACGGTAAATAATAAAAACCCAAGTGTAATCAAAAGAAAAAAGTGTGGCTCATATATACAATTTTATAAGAAAAAACATCTAATTATCAGTGCCAAATCAGGAAAAAGAAACAAACGTTTATAACCTGTCGTGAACCAGGAATACAAAAAGCAACTATAAATAGGATTGGGTAGGACACCCCACAGGAAGGGATGATGGAGAATAGTAAAGAAAAATAATGGAAAGATAGCCAATGAATGGAAAGCTTCTGAGATGAGGGCATCCACTTAGTCGGGTGGAGTCATAAAATCAGTTCGTGCTCAGGTGCCAAGTGGATTATTATGTCGCGGCACCACGAGAAATAGCGGTGGCTTGGGGAGGCCTTCATGCAGCAGTAGATTGAGTGTGGCTGATGATGATGACGATAAACCAGATTTATTAAAACATAAATATACACATTTTAAATAACACTGTGGCCTTAAAATTAAAAGATATAATAAGCTATGTTTGTGGCATTGGCCGTTCTTTATAGTACATACTTTGTGCGCTATGAAGGATGTTCCTTGTGCTTATGCGCAACTACCAAAGTAGTATAAAATAATTGGTTTCTTTTTATTAAGAATATATTTAAAAATGCATTGCAACACATATGCACATCGGCATAGCATCATCATTAATGCCTTTGTTTTCACCAACGCATTCACTCACGCCATCTATCATGAGCTTTCAAAGTGTATGACTGTTCTTCTTCTTGGTTCTTTCAGTAAAGTCACGTAGAATGAGAATAAAACAATAAAACAAAATAAGACAATTGAATTCTCACGACGTTTTGGCCACAACACAAGTAGCCTTCTTCAGGTGAAGGAACAGAACTGTCGGGACGACGGCGCTTCAATGAACGCTGCTAAGATTCGCAGCGTCTTTTAGGCTAGGTGGGAGAGGTAAAGCGCCTTGACAAAGGAGTTTACATATCAAACAGGAGAATTTAGCATTGAAATAGCTGTGATAAAGTGTTGGATCAGCAGGGTGTTAAAGTCAGAAATTAGCATGTAACTGGGAGATTAGCATGATGTTAACGTGAGGGATTAGCATGTGACTGGTCATGGAAATAGCTATGTTAAAGTCAAAGTTTACATATCAACAGAGGCATTTAGTATATGGACGCTAAAGGACTGCAACTACCCAACTATCATACAATAAACCGATGTGAAAAAACTAAGTATAAACTACATCAATATAATAAATGTACTCAATATATTCTTCAATAAGTTGAGCTATTAACATAAAGTAACTGGGTATACACTACACTATATAATGAATACCATATAGTAAACTAATAAAAAACTAAAATATAAACTACATCAATGTTATCAATAAAATCTATATACTCTCCAATCAGCTGAGCTACTAACAATAAGTCGTTATACATTACAATGCCATACGGCGAAAAAATGGGTGGCGTTTTTTTCTTTTCAACGTTAGCACCACGGACAGCGACGAGCTTTGTTCAGACGGACGAGTCCATCTATGCTCGGAACGGAGGAGGGGGGAGAAACAGCCATGATGCGCTGTTATACTCCATGTTATAAACCATACCATTAACTGTGGTGTGAGAGGTATTAAGAGGCAATGCCAGCGAAAGGGCTGCGGTCTGAAGGTCACCGTAAAATACAATTAATTAAGAACCGAAATGATTTAAAACATCTTTCCAATGGTTACTAAGCCAGAATCCATCTTCTCGGTTGAAATTGTCTCTGTGCTTGTATATGTGGATGGCCTCATGAACGAATCTCCATGGTAGCCGGTTGGCTTGCAAAGAACCTCCGTCTTGGAGAAGTCAATGTCATGTGAGCCCACTGAATTATAACAGTGATCTGCCACGGCAGAGGAGTTCATCCTACTAACTCCTTGCAGTCACGAAAGCTTTCAATCGAAATTTAGTGTATGACTGCTTTCAGACAAATACGCTATGCGGGCAAATTATATTATTTATGCAAAAATTATTGAGCAATAAATAACACAAATACTAACTATATGAAATGTAGTAAAAATCTTGACCGTATCTTGCTATTTAGCTCTATTTGCTGTGTTACTAGTTTCCATAAATCCATTTCCACGTAACATCGAGAATTTAATAGGGACAGAATTATCAATGACCAATAATGAAAAGGAGACGTTTACAATAGGGGTGTATTTTTTTGTCATGCAGCAGTGGATGGAAAATGACTGGACATAAGATCAATGTTGTATTCCACAATTCAAGGTCCTCGATTGATCAATGTTGTATTCCACAATTCAAGGTCCTCGATTGACCATCAAGCGACATGTCTTGGACCGTGTTCATGAACATAAGGCAGATCTGAAACATGGTAGGACCAATACCTCAGGCGTGGCTGAACATTGTTTTAATGCTGTGGGCACACACGAAATTGATTTTCCAGGACGAAGGTACTCTGCAAACCTACTGGCTATCAGCAAAGACTCGTTCATGAAGCCATCCAAATATATAAACACGGACACAAATTTTACCGAGAAGATGGGTACAAACTGAGCAATCATTGGAAGGACGTCATTCACCAGTTTAAGTCATAACTGGCTGTGATGTTTCCATCCTACCTGCCGATGTTAGTAGTTATTTTCGACTCTCTGGTGTTACATTACAGGTTAAATGTCTTTACGTTAACAGGTTAAATGTCTCACTAACACAGCCACCATTGCTCGTTTTCCTCGATTTGGCGATGGCTCTATGATCTTACATTGACATGCTAATATCTCACAATACAATGGCCACCTCCGTAGTTTCGTCGTCGTGGAGGTGGCTCTCCGATTTACCCGATCTTACATTTACATGCAAATTTCATCACTAGCCCCGCCCACTTCGTTTATGACCCTTGGGCTGCACCCATCTCAAACCTTTATAACATCCTGCCTCAGCAGCTCTCCCGATATTTTTTTTACCTGATGACGATTGCTTGTGTTGCGATCGAAATATACAAAAAATATATTTTTGGTATATTAACACATTGTGCATTCCTACTTAAATATTACTGTATTTATAATCAAGAATAAATAAGAAACTAAATAACGGCAGTGCTCTATAGAAAAAAAAAAACTTGTTTGAGGACAAGTTTACAACCTACCTTGATCTAAAAACATTTATCTGCAAACACATTAACGTATTACTTTTAAAAGGTTATATTGTACCTTCATAGCATACACAGAAATATGTGACAAAAACAAGCACTTTTGATGAAGTACTGACGTTCCAGAAAGACTAAGCCATTCACGTTTTTTTCTTGATTATAACATTTTCAGAAAAAAGGGAGGAGTTCTGCATTCGCAGAATGTCCTAGTACCTCACAGATGTCCAAAGCTGTGCTTATGTCAAGAAAGGTCAATGGATAAGAAAGTCATGCTTAACCACAGCCGTGACATACGTGAGCTAAGCAACTTAATTTTCCTCTTATTCTTACTTAGAGCAAAGCAAAAAAAGACCCCATAAGTCAAACATTGCACAAAGCATACATTCATAATGCTTTCTATTTTCAATTATAAATTTCCCAGCCACCCTGCTAAGGTTGTTTCAATAATTAATCATGCTATACACAGCAAGGTTGCCGATGGTGAATTGGTCTCAGAATCATTATTAGTTGAAAATGGACTTGGTGTAAATTAATCCAAAGAAAAAAATACCTTCAACCCTGCAAACTAAATAAATATTTAATGTGTGTGTGTGTGTTTTACAATCAGTACCCAGTGCCGGATTATCTTAGTAGCGAAAGTAGCATATGCTACGGGCCCCGCACTTTCACGGTCCCCAAGCTAAATGCTTTAAAGCGATCAATTCCGGTTCAGTGATTCTGAACTTGCTCTATTACTATAGTACTATACTGTCTTCAACTTTTATGAACGACTGGGTCTTTAAGGTTAACGATTTGTCGTTTTATCTGGCTGTATAGCAAATTAAAAAACAATATTACTTTACTATGCAAGTTAAACATTTGTTTTAATATTTATGTGTTTTTTTCAGGGGCGGAGCCAGGGGGGGTGAGAGGGGTGACATTCTGCGTATAAGTGTACGACACTCGGTCTGGTGGACTCCGTGCAATTGCATTGTCAGAGTGTGTCGCCAACCGATGGCGTCTAGTTCAACAGCCTGACTCTCTAATCATTCTTGAAATTAAAATTTGTTGAATGTCACCCTGGCCTGAAATCCTGGCTTCGCCCCTGTTTTTTTTATTTAGGGCCCCTTTATAACATATGCTACAGGCCCCGCACTAGCTTAATCTGGCACTGTCAGTACCATAATGTTTTCCCCTGCATTTCTATTGACAACTTAAAGATGAAGAATTACAATTGGTTCACATGTAATGTTGCATAGAGCAGAGCAATGAACACCCGTAATTGGACTCCACACAACAATTACCGACATAAGCATCCTATTTTTCAGTTAATCTGGACAATGAAATGTCTGCATCCGGAGGTGATATGCACTGTTAATTTTCATTACGAGGGGTTTTTCTTTTTTTTTCCAATGGTAAATTAAGGTAGTCTGCCTCTCATTGCCCTATTACATAATGCAGCAGTTGAAACCAAAAAAAAGAGTGGGACGATGCTGCCTGTATTGCATAACAGCATTTTAAAAAGGCTTGATGGTTCACATTATGCATCCCTTCTAGGTGTTAAATGAAATGTTACTATTTCACAGCGACAGCACTGGTATTTGCATACATAAATCCAGCCACCAAAAACTCGTAACATAAATATGCCGATGAAAATGTGGTAAAGAAAATGCATTAACTGCTGGAAACCCAGAAATATGTTTGAATATGCAAAGAATAATTCTATTTCTACTGCAAATAAATTCGTCATCTGACAAGATGGCACATGATTTATACAGAAATAATATTTTGGAATGGCACGCTACAGATGTAATTAATGTATATGCACATTCAAATATCATAAAACTGTATTGATAAACATAATGCATTATACTTTAACACAAAACACTATTATATCGTTACTTTTTCAATACTATAGCAGTTTATGAACAGAAAATATAATTAGCAGGATACATATTTTTATTCAAGTGTGGTAATAATTTTGTTACATCTAAGATATGGAAATTATAATCTAATTAGGCACAGTTTCATAAATACATGAACAAGTCAAATTGCTGTCATGTGTGCAGTGTCATTATTGGCCTGAGCTTAGCACTCTCATCCTCATAAATTGACTCTACTTGATGAAATTTATGAAATGTCATTTATTCGTATCGTTGTACTTTGCAATGTCTCTGGTTTCTCGATATACATGAGCCATGGATGACGATGATAAACTGTAAATCAGATGTGGGTTTACGTCTTCTAACTGACTTCAAAAAGCAGCTGTTTATTATTTAAGAGACAAATGTGCAAGTATATACACCAAGTCCAACGTCCATTGTCTTTTGCTTCAAGATTGAGTGAATGACCAAATATAAAGAACCCGAAATGAATGCAAAACTAAAATTGCTTATTTTGCCTCTAGAGCGTCAATAGCTTGTATGTGGCTTGCTCTGCTTCATTCTCTATTCATGCCTGGCGAACGAATGTGTTCTGCTACTGTTGTGCCTACAAAAGTTCATACTTCTGCTTGTATATTGTAAAGCTATGGGGGTTCTTTCATTTCTGCATGCTTTGAAAGGTAACCAATGTGTTTGGGGTGCTGTGTGAATACATTCCCCTTTGGTTTTATTTTATTGGCGGAATTCAATGTGAGGTTGTACTGGCATCAATATAACCTCCCATTCATAAATAACGGACTAAGAAGCTAAGAAGCAGCACGATTCCAGAACGCTCAGATGCCTCTCAAATATCAAAATGTATCCATCCCTTAGGGTTGGCACCAGTCCTGGTTTTCCCAAGATTGTCCTCTTTTTGAGATATTTGCCCTGGAAGTATTTTCGGAATGTAGAACATCAAAAGTTCTGTTTTTTGTCAGTTATGTGTACAGTACTTCTTCCCTCTTCTGGTATTGTGAGATATTTGTTCTTCCCATGAAATGTCTTGTTTGTTTTTACCACAGGAGGTGGCAACCCTCGTATCACTTCTCGAATGAAAATGAAGGAGGATACCACAACTAGCAATCCATTCTCGAGTCGAAGAAAAAAAGAAGCAGAGGGAGACATAGAATGAGATGGTTTGATGTTTTAAAGAATTACATTGAACAAACGTGTACAAATGTGACTAAGGCAACACAGCTAGGAAGAGACAGACAGGATTCATTGGGTCCGGTTGTCGGTCTTGAGCTGACCACAGGGAATTTTTTTTTTAAAATATCACTGGACATCCTTACTTAACGCTCAATGATAAAACCGTTCCACGAGATAATGTAATTATGCTGCAAGTTCCCTTGGAGTGACGTCAATTGGGAACTCTGCTGACACGAGCTGGTGTAAGATGAAATGTGTATGTGTTCTTTTGAGGTGTCCAAATCATTAATGGCCATTTAAATATATAATTCCAATACTGTTTAGACGTGTATAATCACAGGCAATCCACCACTTTAATTTGTAGATTATCGGGAAACATATTAAGGTAAGCATAAAACGACGGTGTGATTTAGCAAACATCACACCTGCCCTCGTTTGTTTAACCAGTGGTGATGTTCACAATCTGTACCAGTAGTCAGTTTAACCTAAAATGACAACGGAAAGCCCAAGCAAGGCCCAGACACCAACAGCTACTGGTGATATTTATGGCCACAAAGTCAGGAATGGAGCCCAGGTATCTAGGTCCATGGGTGGAGCAGTGGCGTAGTGGTTAGTGCACTGCGCTATGAACCTGGTCACCCGAGTTTAATTCCTGGCCATGGCTGACATCAGTGGTGAGCGATATCTGAATTGGTCTTGAGCGCCCCTTCACCCTCTTTGACAACCTACATTGAATAGCACGGTGAAATATGGTCAACAGATCTCCTATGACTGATACGGCATGGGGAGGCCTCCTTCCTTCAGCATCAGATTGACGACGGATGAATATAAGATCACTGCTGGATTCCACACGTCAAGGTCTTCGATTCACCAACCTTCTTCATCTATGCTGTGTTCTTTACAGAATAGTTGCGGCATGGGTGTGCAGCAATAACACATGCAGCCATGACAAAGGGCCCTTATATTATTACTGTATTACCTGAGACCAAAGTAGAGTGTGATAACTCTTACAACAACTTTCTCCCACTCACAAGTGTACACAAACACACAACAACAAGAGCTGCCAATTGCCACTAAGTCACGGTGACATCACCATAGAGCTTGTGCCAGGCTCGGCAAACTTTAAGGACATATTACACGTGGAAGGCTCGCTGGCAGGAGGTCACGAGACAGATCCAGGTGTTACGGGTTGACTGACTGAGATGTCTGGCAGACATTCACATAGACACCAAAGCACTAAAACGTAGCAATGACGACTCACGGTGACTCCCAAAAAGTTGGTCTCGTTCAAGGCGTCGAGCAAGATTTGTCCGATGCGTTGGTTGGTGTAGCTGAAGGACTCAATGGAAGCAATGAGGCTCTTGTCCGCCTCCAGCAACTCAATCGTTCGGTTTAAAACTTGCGCAATCACCCAGATGCCATCATAGGCGTAGCCATGAAACTTGCTGTGCGGTGCCACCTCACTCACACCCAACATATGATAATACTCCTCCTCATATTGCTGTGGCGTCTGGGGTTTAAAAACAAGGAAACGCATGAATGCTTTGTAATGCAGAACAACAACAACAACAACCCAAAGATAAGGAACCTCCCTCCACAATATTTCGATACAACGCTGCCCATTGAAAGGACATGAACTCTATTGGAAAGTCACGTAGAAGGGAAACAATAAAATAATAAAATATAAACAATAAAATTCTCACGACGTTTCGACTGAAACAACAAGCAATCATCATCAGGTGTGAAAGCCACAGGAAGAACATTTTGAACCAAGAATATGAATCCCTGCAGTCACGAAAGCTTTAAAGCAAAATTTAAGACATGAACGCTGTCAAAGTATGTTTTCTTATGCCCGTCCACTAAACTTTTGTCAGTAAGATATTCGAGCACAAGAAAATAAACATCATAGGGAAATTCTTAACAGAGTGTAAGGTGACTTTCATACATTTCCATGAATCTATTTCGGCATATATGGCTTCATTTCTACCTTAAATTATCTGATAATTTGTATTATTTGTTGTGCTTCCCATACAAAAAAAGAGATCTTTGGACATTTAACCTCAACACAACAGGACCCCATAAAATGTGCAGCCGAAAGGCACTATGTGCTTTGGTACTCAATATCAGCGTTTACAAAGTCCCCAAAATGCTTCTTTTCATTTTCCCTCATGTACATAAAAGTACACGCTGTAATTTTAAACTCTTCATATGAATATATTTTTTCTGACAGTTCTTTATTGGTGCATGGTAGATTAAGTTCTAAAGCATGACATTTTATTTTTTGTTTTTGAGCACTTCAACATCACTTCCATTCAAAGCTAACTGCATTTGTACAGATTTGTGTCGACGTCATTTCGTATTGTACTGCACATGCCATGCCATGAGCGAGGCTCACCAGCCCAGAGATGGTGCGAACGGGCCGAGTGCTGAGTGGCATGAAGTCCACATAGATGCAGTTCTCCATGGCAATGAGGAGGTTCTTCTGAGGGCACTGCTGCTGTGTATGCTCCCACCAGCGGCTGCCGTACCAGCCCGGGATCACCCACTGATACTTACTCCCATACATGCCTTCGTTATAGGCCTGGTGTCAGGGACAGCAGCAGGTTTGAAATTAGTATACAGAGCGGATTCCATATTAAAAACCCAATCATTTTGTGGATGCGAAAACTGGAGTCAACTTTGTAGAAAAATCACATCAGGTGGCACAACATGCATTATTCAAGAACAGCAATTTGAGCTTTACTGAACTCCTATACACTCTAAGCTACAGCCCAATGATAGCCACAACGTCTGTATTGCCTCGCACTGCTTTAAAAATGGAAGCTTTGGGACATGAACGATTTCATGTTCAATGAATGAAATCTTTAGCAGATGTGCCCTATATGTGCAATTGTGTAACTACAAGCTTAGAAAAATAGTGTGATAACCGACATATGAACGTGCTGTGAAAGACAATGTTTGTTGTCTGCGTGCTTTTAGTACTCACGCAGCAAAAGACTTTGGCTGCCATTTCTTCGTCAAATTGGCCCAGTATAATCCTGACATCCGAAGTCTACAATAACACCGTTACACTTATGAGCAATGGTGTCAAAATGAATGAAAACATATCAAAAGAGCACACTGCTGTTTGTATGAAATATTTACATCATCAACATTCCTTATTTTATTTATATATTCATACTCTTTAGGTCTTTCGGTAATGTCACATAGATAGAAAAGTTATTTAAAAAATCACGACGTTTAGATCGCAACACAAGCAATCGTCTTCAGGTGAAAAAATACAGCAGGCGAACTGCTGAGGCAGGAGAAATATAGCGGGAGAGCTGCTGCAACAAGAGGTTATATAGGTTTGAGATGGGTGCAACCCAAGGGTAAGTAGGCGGGGCTAGAGATGGAATTTGCATGTAAATGTAAAATCGGAGAGCCTGATACACCTCACGATTAAGGTGGTGAAGAGGCGGCCATTGTATTGCTAGAGATTAGAGATTAGCATGTCAGTGTGAGATGGCTCCCGCAGCAGCGGCTGTGTTAATGAGAAGATTGGCATGTCAATGCAAGAGAACCACCGCAACAGTGGCCGTGCCAGTGAGACATTCAGCCTATTAAACAACGAGAGCCACCGCCACATCGAGGAAAAGGGAGCAGCAGCTATGTAAGTGAGACATTTAGCCTGTTAATATAAAGACATTTAACAAGATAATGTAACTCAGAGAGTCAGAAATAACTGCTAACATCGGCAGGTAGGCTGGAAACATCACAGCCAGTTATGACTTTACCTGGTCAATAACGTCCTTCCAATATGTCTCACTAACATAGCCGCTGCTCCCTTTTCCTCGATGTGGCGGTGGCTCTTGTGGTTTAATAGGCTGAATGTCTCACTGGCACGGCCACCGTTGCGGTGGTTCTCTTGCATTGACATGCTGGTCTCTCACACTGCAGCGGCCAACGCCGGAGCTTTTGTTGCCCACGAGGTAGCGCTGTGCCCGGTTCTCTCACACTGACATGCCAATCTTCGCATTCTTGATTTGAAGCTTTCGTGACTGCAGGAATCCATACTCTTTGGTTCTTTCGGTAAAGTCACGTAGGTAGAAAAACGACGTTTTGTTCACAACGCAAGCAATCGTCATCAAGTGGAAGAAAGAGGGAAGCTGCTGATGCAGGCTGCTTTTAAAGGTTCGAGATGGGCGTAGCCCAATAGTCATAAACGACGTGGGGGGGGCTAGTGATGTTAAAGTGAGAAATTTGCATGTAAATGTACTGTGTAAATGTGATCAGAACGTCAATGTAAGCTCGCAGCGCGCCTTCACATCGAAGACTGCATGTAAACATAAGATCGGCTTGCAGCGCACCGTCACATCGAGGACTGTATGTAAATGTAAGATCGGAGAAATTTGCATGTAAATGTGATTGGAATTTGCATGTAAATGTAAGATCAGAGAGCCTGATATACTTCACGACTACGGTGCTGAAGAGGCGACCATTGTATTGCTAGAGATTAGCATGTCAATCTGTAATTTGCAAGTAAATGTAAGATCAGAGAGCCTGATATACTTCACGACTACGGTGCTGAAGAGGCGGCCATTGCATTCCTCGAGATTAGCATGTCAATCTATTAATGTAACCCCACGACTATGGTGCTGAAGAGGCGGCCATTGCATTCCTCGAGATTAGCATGTCAATCTATTAATGTAACCCCACGACTACGGTGCTGAAGAGGCAGCCATTGCATTCCTCGAGATTAGAGATTTGCATGTTAATGTGAGACGGCTCCCGCAGCAGCGGCTGTGTTAATGAGAAGATGACATGCCAATCACATTTACATGCAAATTTCTCCGATCTTACATTTACATACAGTCCTCGATGTGACGGTGCGCTGCAAGCCGATCTTACGTTTACATGCAGTCTTCGATGTGAAGGCGCGCTGCGAGCTTACATTGACATTCTAATCACATTTACACAGTACATTTACATGCAAATTTCTCACTTTAACATCACTAGCCCCCCCCACGTCGTTTATGACTCTGGAGCTACGCCCATCTCGAACCTTTAAAAGCAGCCTGCATCAGCAGCTTCCCTCCTCTTTCTTCCACTTGATGACGATTGCTTGCGTTGTGAACAAAACGTCGTTTTTCTACCTACGTGACTTTACCGAAAGAACCAAAGAGTATGGATTCCTGCAGTCACGAAAGCTTCAAATCAAGAATGCGAAGATTGGCATGTCAGTGTGAGAGAACCGGGCACAGCGCTACCTCGTGGGCAACAAAAGCTCCGGCGTTGGCCGCTGCAGTGTGAGAGACCAGCATGTCAATGCAAGAGAACCACCGCAACGGTGGCCGTGCCAGTGAGACATTCAGCCTATTAAACCACAAGAGCCACCGCCACATCGAGGAAAAGGGAGCAGCGGCTATGTTAGTGAGACATATTGGAAGGACGTTATTGACCAGGTAAAGTCATAACTGGCTGTGATGCTTCCAGCCTACCTGCCGATGTTAGCTGTTATTTCTGACTCTCTGAGTTACATTATCTTGTTAAATGTCTTTACATTAACAGGCTAAATGTCTCACTAACATAGCTGCTGCTCCCTTTTCCTCGATGTGGAGGTGGCTCTCGTTGTTTAATAGGCTGAATGTCTCACTGGCACGGCCACCGTTGCGGTGGTTCTCTGACACTGACATGCCAATCTTCTCATTAACACAGCCGCTGCTGCGGGAGCCATCTCACATTGACATGCTAATCTCTAATCTCTAGCAATACAATGGCCGCCTCTTCAGCACCGTAGTCGTGGGGTTTCATTAAGAGATTTACATGCTAATCTCTAGCAATACAATGGCTGCCTCTTCACCACCGTAATCGTGAGGTATATCAGGCTCTCCGATTTTACATTTACATGCAAATTCCATCTCTAGCCCCGCCTACTTACCCTTGGGTTGCACCCATCTCAAACCTATATAACCTCTTGTTGCAGCAGCTCTCCCGCTATATTTCTCCTGCCTCAGCAGTTCGCCTGCTGTATTTTTTCACCTGAAGACAATTGCTCATGTTGCGATCGAAACGAGTATGAATTCAATTTCGATTTCAAGCTTTCGTGACTGCAGGGATTCATCTCCTTGGCTCTTTCGGTAATCCCTGCAGTCATGAAAGGTTTAAGTCAAGATTCATATACGTTCATTAAAAAAATTCAATTATCTATACAGTACACATTGTGATACTTGTATTTGTCTATAAAGTAATAAAAACTGTCAATTATTTTCATATACTTGGTGTTTAGGATTGAATTCCACAAAAATAAAAATTCGTGAAAATCGCCCTTTCAAATGAGCGCCATCCAGACATACCTTGAGGTTTTGGACATTGACACATGGATCATTGGAGAAGCTCTGCGTTTCAGCAATCTGGATTCCCGCTTTATCCAGCTCTTTTGTCAAGTCGTTGTGCACCTGCCAAAAGATAAAGGACAGTTTGGGTTCGTTTCATTATAATTATTATTATTGTTTACTCAATGACTTAGTTCCTCACTTCTTTTTCAGAAAGAGCTGACCCCCTGCACTGGAAAAATCAGAAAAATATTATTAATTTGTTCCCATCAGCCAATCAAAAAGGACAGGTTGATTGTTTTTTATTTTCATATTAAGCCATTTTAATATTACGAGTAAACAATACAACATATGGACCACAATGGAACTGTTGTAACATTAAAGTATCAAGCATTTTCGCTGTTAATTATGGCTTGAGGTGTTTTCCACACATTGTATGTGGTTGTGATAATTAAATCATTAAATTTGGAATGCACTCTCACATTGTCCAACTTGAAACTGTGAACATCAAAAACACGAACTCAGAAACATTATCCTCCAATTGCTCAATTTAGTTTAAATGTGTTGGATATTTTGGCATAAACATTTTAAATACCTATTCTTGGTTCTGCAACACAAGCAATCATCAGTCGAAACGTCGTGAGAATTTTATTTTTTATATTTTTATTATTTTATTGTTTCCCTTCTACGTGACTTTACCGAAAGAACCAAGAATATGAATCCCTGCAGTCACGAAAGCTTTTAATCAAAATTTTAAATACCTGTGAAACTTGTAACTTCAAGTACATCCCATATTGTTCAACACGTTATCATAACATTTGTATATTCTATCATTACTACTCTTATGCTATCTGAAAAAAAGGTAGTATAGTAAATTGGTTACAATCTGTTTTTCAGCCACACATTGTGAAAATATGACGTGACAGGATTGATGGAGGTGGCGACAGCTTAAGAAGGCTTCATTCAGCAGTGGATTGACCATGGCTGATCATCCTTATGAGGATGAAACTGGGTTCTCAAATATAGCAGCTCAATGGTTTCAACCTGACCGCTGATGACTGCACCAGAAAAGCCCCATCGGATTAAATGTAGTCGTTCACTAAACAGGGCTTATTCCAGTTTGGTTTATGACACAAACTCTTTTCTGAGCATAAAATAGACACGTCCGTAGTATGTGGCTTGCCATGCTACGGCGCTGTAAAGGTTGTCGTGATCATTATTTATCATCTTCTTTCATATGACACAGTAATTTTGTAAAATTAATTTATTATGATTTATTTGAGAAACATACGAAAGTATATAGAATGTTAATTATTACATAAAAAATATAATTCAGATGTTTTGCCTATTTCCACTGCATTGGTTTAAGACACATCTAGTGATTGTAGACTAATCATAACACCCCCTCAGCACATGAAAAAATGCCTTAAAATTATTATTTTTAAAATGTAATTGATGAGGGGGGTATATTGAATGCGTCACTACTCTCCTACACACTTGTTTCACAGAGTGCAGGATTCTGTACACCGCTTGTCACCGTTGGGTGCAAGGTTGACATACCATGCGCTTCTCATAAGCACAACACGAGACCCACAATTCATCAGACTGAGAATATAAACCGGTGCGCTCTAACCCATTCAACCACACCGCCGCAACATCTACAGATAAAATTTACTATTTCCAATGTTCGTTCTGATAATAATGTTGCTGAGCTTTGATTTAAAACTGCATGTGTAAATGCTTCAATTGCGTAGGCAAAAGCTCTGCAAATACGGATGCGATTCCTCTTTGATGTCACTGAACAAGCGCCTTGCATGCAAATTTTACCGGATGCCGTTATAAAGCTGGTTTAATGGTACTGTAGTCATGAAAGAATGCTCACTTGAGCTTCCACGGTGCTGTTGTATGGCAACAGTGCAAGGTACTAAAATGAGCGGATAAATATACTTAAAATATTGACAACGAAGGCAACAATTGTATAAAAAAAATGTGGTGTGGTTGCATTATTATCTATACGTTTGAAGAATTATATCCTACGTAAACTGTGCAACTTGAGCATATATGGTTGGATTTGCATATTTACAAAAAGACAATCTCTACCAAAAACCCTGTGGTAATGTGGTTTAACCTCAAACAATGCTCAGGCCCACGTCTGTCCTGAATACTCGTTTATGAACGTTCACTTATAAGAAGAGCACACATCGCTGAGTGTGCGAGGATAATTCAGCGGCAGGCATGGGGCTTGAGGTCAAATTTCCCACCAAGGATATATAATTCCATGCCTTCAATCTATTTATAACATCGCTTAATATACTTATATTTGAGGAAAGTTATCATTACAGCTCTATCTTGGCAAACACAAATGGTAGAGCCCCTGGCCTAAGCAACCTGCGAGGGCTGATGTCCATGCATGGGCACGGCAACCTGTAATTTACACCATCACATAAAAGCATGTGCAATTTTCAGGGGTGATGTTATGCAAATGAAGCTGCTGCGCTAATACTGTATCGTTACAGGATTGTTCCGAGCTCCTGGCTTAAAGGTCGGCTTTGAGCGTGTACGTGGTTCCCTGTCTATTGCCGCACGACTCCTCAAGGAACCGAACTCTCCGGCAATCTGTCAAAGTGTATCAATACGGAGAAAAGTAAAAGTGGTGAACGTCGTTAAATATTAACGGTCTTACTTTTTCAATATAGTTGGACCACATCCATCCAGTATTAGCCTCAACTTACATATGCATATTTCTTTAAAGCGTATTCTGTTTGTTCTCTATAGTGCTGGTATATTACTCTATTCACGTAGCTTATAATGGCTAAATATGGCATGCAAAGGTCTCAGTCTGCAGAAGCAGATCCTGTTTTTTTCCCCCCTATGAATATTTGCACAGCGCTTTAAGAAGTGTACAAATTATGGGCAGCATGCAAATGTCTCTAGAGCTACTATAAACAAACACTGTACTTTATAAATAGCAGCAATCCAAAAGAAAAGTTATCATGGATGCTAATCTTTATTTTCATAATTATTTTGTATATTTGTTTCTATTCACAGCCCTGTGACGATACCACTGCTAGATGAAGGTCTCCTCATGGGGGTTAATTGACCATACTTCACCACAGTGGTCAGTACAGGTTGGTAAAGACGAGGCCCAAGAAGAGCACAAATATCATTCACCATTGATGTTAACCCTGACCAGAAGTTAAACCTCAGGCTCTGCTGTAACCACTGCGCTACCGTTCTACCCTTTTTAAATCAAAGCTGATGATGGAAGTATTGTGCACACGTACAAAATTATAAAGAAAGACTCTTTGGTTCTTTCGGTAAAGTCACGTAGAAATTAAATTAAATAATAATAGAATACAACGTTTCGATGGACTTACAAACAAGCACGGAACAAACACGGTCGAAAGAAAATTTAGTAAAATTATGAAGTGTAATGCAATGCAACACAGAGAGTCGGTTAGCACACAGTTAACGCATAGCCTGGTTGATTACGTTCTGCCAAAGATTGCTAAATTAGAAGTTAGGTGTGAAACAAACAAGCACGGCAAAACCTCCCCGTAGAGGTGGTTCAAACTAGATTCGAGGCTGCAAGAATTATCTCCTCTGGCCGCTATGGGCAGGAATTCCACACAACGCTCCGTGCTTGTTTGTTTAGAAGTCCGGTGTCCAGCTCGTCCGTCCGCCATGGGCAGGAATTCCACACAACTCCACCTCTGTCCACCCCCTCTCTCTCTATTTAAGGCCTCGATACAGAGACGTTGTCTTTCTGTGTGCCTATAGTATGTGTGTGTGTCTCTCTCTGTCTCTGTGTGAGTCACTCTCTGCTTGTGTGCTTGTCTGTGTTTCTCCGTGTCTATGTTGTGTCTCTCTCTCAAATTTAGAAATCTTTGGAAGAATGTAATCAACCAGGTGGGGTGTTGACTTTTGTGTTGGCCGACTCTCTGTGTTGTAATGCATTAAATTTCTAAGTTTACTAGGTTTGTTTTCTCATTCATGTGTACCTGATGATGGTTGCTTGTGTTGCAATCGAAACGTCGTATTATATTATTCTTTTATTTAATTTCTACGTGACTTTACCGAAAGAACCAAAGAGTAATTCCTGCAGTCACGAAAGCCTCGAATATAGTATGAAGAAAGACTTTGCACTTTTAAATCTAAATTAAAAACTCATTTCTGTAGAACTGCTTTTTTGTGTTTAGTTTGTTGTCCTTCTCCTGCACTTCCCATGAGCACGGTTGACTATATACAGTGGGTAATAAATTAAACATACATACAGGCTGTTGGGGCAAGTGCTGTTAACAAGCACCGATGATGGCCAGAAGGGTACACGAGGGGGTGGCTGGCCAGCACCACGTCCGACCGCCTTTGTCTCTCCAGTGGTGATGATTTTATGCACCGCACCAGCTACTCGTTTAAGGCTGAGTCGACCTAGGAGGGTCAGTTAAGATAATCGTCACTGGTGTTGGCCTTGAGCAGGAATCGAACTCGGGTCGCCGGGTCCATATTGTAGAGCGCTAACTGCTACACTTCCCCTCCCCACAACATACATATATGCGAACGTGCATACACATACTTATCAAGCAGATCAGCCGCATATGATAATTGTATGGAGAGCCAGAGCCACGGAGTGAAAATCCCGCTACGTTCGTTATACACATCACAGCTTATGGCTATCAATTGTTAAGAAGGAAAACATTGCCCTGCCGAAGGATCATAACTTTATCGTGGTGGTGGGGTTTGTGTGTTCCAATGACCCTCGGTGCTATGTCGCCTGGAGTATTGTACTCTTGGTAGGGTCTTCCTTGGCGAACAGGTCTGAGGGGAGGTTCCAGACAAATAATGGTCCAAATAAATCCCCTCATGAATGGTTAAACAATACAAAAATCAGAGAACCTCGCCCGGACAAGGGATACCGGGACCCAACCCTGGAGCCAGGCCTGGGCGTGGTGTTCGCCAGCAAGCGTATGGTGGTTCGGTGACCCATGTAACCCGGTTGGGCCCAGCCCGAAAAGGCTACGTGGTGCCATCCTCTGGGCCCACCACCCGCAGAACGAAGGGTGAGTGGTGGGTGCGATGCCAATATGGCAGGGAGAGGGATGGTCTCAGATAGTCTGGACCTTGGT